CAAGACATAAAGCATCAATCGTTTCACTTTTTAACTGATTTTCGTAAAACATAAATTGTTTCTTAAAGGAATTGAAAAAAGCGGGGAGGGGGGGGGGGGGTTTAACATTCACTAAAAAATAAATAAAATAAAGTTGATGTCTAATTAGTAAGTGATAGTAATATTCCCAGGTTGTTTGGGGGCCAGCTGAAGGACGTCTCCGGGTGCGGGAGTTTCTCGCTGCATTGAAGACCCATTGGTGGCCTTCGGCTGTTGTCTGCTCTATGGTCGTGTTGTTGTCTCTTTGACACATTCCCCATTTCTATTCTCAAGTTTAAGTTTCGTTTCATTGCAAAGCTATAAGTAAACCTTAATACAAGAACATAAACAAGTTCATGAAGCCTGAACAGACATGGATAAATAGATATGCCTGATATACTTTTATTATGTTTTTATATGCTATCCTCTTGTACACGTTGAAGTGTAATAATTAAATCAATGAAGTACTATGCATATATACAAAAATTGGTTTAGTGGAATTCATGACATCTATTTTATGTTTTATCTCCTTGTTTTCTAGATCTGATGAACAGGAACCACCACAAAAAAACAGCTGATGATGTCTACAGTTTGCAGTGTCAAGTTTTGGAGAGAAAATTAATTAAAACAAACCTCCAAATTCAGTTGTACGAAAGACTACACATCAAGCTCGATGACAATCTTACTACTGGGTTGCTGTCTTTCATGGAGCAGTAGAATATAAAGATTCTATTTCTAATGTTAACCTGTTGTTTTTTTGTTTTGTTTATCTTAAATATAAATATATATATATTTATATGTTGACTCTTTGTCTGGTTTATTTTTATTTTCCACTGGCAAAAACATTCATAAACAGGAGTGCCCACACTGATATGTTCAACTGGTTTTCGAGGCTGATCACAATTCAATTTATGCAGAAAGTTTTTAAGATAAAATTATAACTACAAATATCACAAACACTTTATAAATGAGTCGACTATACGGTATATGTTTTATTCTTAGGTGAGGTCATGTGAACCATGTATTGGTGGCCTTCGGCTGTTGTCCGCTCTATTGTCGGGTTGTTGTCTCTTTGACACATTTCCCATTTTCATTCTCAATTTTACTTATTGATATGAAACCTAGCAATAATTTAATAGACCAAAAACTGTCTAACCTATAAATAATGATTGAAAAATTCACATGACAGCAAAAAACTAAACTGTTTTAGGCCTTCGCTGAACCATGAAATTGAGGTCGATGAGAAAAGTCATAAGACAGATTGAAACTTCGTAACATAAAGTATCTATATACAATTTATGAAGGAAGCAGAACTTCTTCCTTTTGAAAAATAAAGAGAGACAAAATTAAAAACCAATTGTTCAGAGAACAATTGAAGGTCTTTCCACATCAAAGACATTTTGAAAAGAAGATAGTTAATTTATTTTGATGCGATACATAAGTGGTTTCGATATACTTTTGAGTGAAATAAGGGAGATCATTTGCTACTTCCGGTAAATTAAATGTCACTTCAGGTCTCATATGATAGCCTTTTTCACACTGATTCCAAAAAATATATAGTTAGTATATACTTTTGCCTGTAAACCAGGAGATAATTGGCCACTTCCTGTTTATCGAAAGTCACTTCTAGTCTTTAGTGATACGTTAATGTATCTACAATACAAAATATATGAATTCCGAGTACTTTTTCATGAACAAAGTGCAAAAAATGCTACTTCCGGTTTTCTCAAAGTCATTTCCGGTTGTCATTTTTTAAGGTCATATGTCACCCAACCTTTTGTTAAAGGTCATATGGCTAATAATGAACCAAGTTGAAGTAATAATCAATTAACCTTATAATTAGACATTTCAGGGGCACTTACTCCTATAAGATGTCATTAGATTGTATCAGATCAAATGTAACATATCTTCATTACCATAAAGCAAACATTTTGAACTTGTTCTTATATATATATCTTTAAAAGTGTTTGAGAAAATGCAAAAATAAGCAAAAGTCAAAATTTAGAACTTGACCTTGACATTTGATCTTGACCTCATTTTCTAAGTTAGGACCTAGGGACCTCAAATAAAAAAGGTTCAAGGGTTATACGGTTAAAGGTTTATGAGTTAAAAAAACATACCGACAAATTTATTTCGTAAAGGTAGATAACTCCTATAAAATTTCATCGAATCGCTTCGATCCAAATTAGTAAAAAATTTCTGAGGATGTAACGAACAATTTAGAATAGGAATGTTGTCGATATCTTTTTTGTTACGAAGGAGATGCACACACTTGAAAAGAAAAGTGGAAAGACCAAATAATAATCAGAACAAATACAATAGGTCTTTCCAGAGAAAAGTGGAAAGACCTAATTATAATAATCAGAACAAATACAATAGGTCTTTCCACAGAAAAGTGGAAAGACCTAACAAAGTGGAAAGGTAATTAAGAATTTAATGTGCGAATTTAATGTGTGAAGTACATCTGAGTGATGTGATCCATAATTCTTCTTCCATCATTGGCTTCATTGTACACTGCATCTATATTAGGTATCTCCTCGTCTTGATCTTCTGGCAGTTCAGGCTCATTCATCCACAAAGCTATATTGTGCAGAATGGCACAAGCCATGATAATGCTACATACCCTTTCAGGTTTCATACGAATCTATAAAAGTAAAAAAAAATATTAAATTTATTAAAAACAGTATGAACCTATGACATTAGCAGTCTTATTGACACTCTTCCCAAATCTTTATTAAACCTTTTGTTCAGTGGTTGTCGAGTGTTGATGTTGTTCTTAGGTTTTTCCTTTTTTATTCTTTTTTTTTCTGTAGATTAAACTTGGTTTCCTTTTTGAACTGATTTACACTAGTCATTTTGGTCCCTTAACAGCTTGCTGTTCAGTGTTATACAAGGCTCCGTGTTGAATGACGTATAATTGACCTATACTTCTTAACTTTTTATACAGTGGCGGATCCAGAAATTTTCATAAGTCGGTGCCCATTGACTGCCTAAGAGGGAGCCCGCTCCGGTCATGCTTCAGTGATTTGCTATATAATCAACCATTTTTTTCCAGAAAAGGGGAGGCCTGGGCCCGCTAGCCCCCTCTAAATCCGCCTCTGTTATACATTGTGACTTGGTTGCAGAGTTGTCTCATTGGCAATCATACCACATCTTCTTATTTATATGGTCTTATATACATGCATTTTTTTAAATTTTAGTTTTTAGTTTTTTGACACTATATAATGAATCAAATTATTTTTTCTTCAAAATTTAACACGTTAAGTCATGGAGGGAATCTGCTTTTAAAATAAAAAAAAAATTGTCATCTGCTTGAACAGAATTAGTTTAGGAAAAAAAAACATTACCCCCATCGTAGTTAAATGGTTGTTCCCTAACTTGATTATTTTTTTTTAATTTAATTAAATACCTCTGAATGTAGTACATGAAAACGCCTTTTCCATCTCCCAAAGGTCCTTTCTATTACACATCTTGTTGTAGCATGATGCCTGTTAAACCTTGTCTGGTCTTCATTTGCAGGACGGGCATAAGGCGTTATGATGAATGGGCGGCATGGATATCCACTATCCCCAAGTAAGATGCCACTTTCCCAGTTAGGTGTCTTTTCCATGTGTGTACATACCTAAACAATGAAATTGGTATATGTAAAACAAAATCATGTTTCAACTGGACAAATTGTCCTGTAAATTAAGGGATGATAAAAATGAAAATATTTCAAGAAGAATTCCAATATAAAAAAAAGAAGATGTGGTATGAATGCCTATGAGACAACTCTCCACAAGAGGCCAAAATGACACAGAAATTAACAACTAAAGGTCACCGAACGGCCTTCAATAGTGAGCAAAACCCATACGCAATGTCCGCTGCATTGCATATATGTTATCTATTTAAGATATAAGGGCAATAACTAAATAAAACAATTTAAAACAATTTATATATCTCTTAAATTAGAGAAATTAAGGCTTCAGATAATTAAATGTCATTATCAATATAATTGATTGTTCTAAAAGGCATAACTCTTTTAAAAATTAATTGCTCAGTGCTGTTTTTGAAACTCATTAAAAGCATTGATTATAAAACTTACAATATAAACTTCATAAAAATCTGGCAAGATTTGTATACATAATTAAGGGCCCTTATGGGGCAATTTTCCATATTTAATCATTATTTCCAAGAGGCATAACTATATGAAAAATAATTCATCAGCGGTGATTTTTTAACTCGTTCAAGACACATAAACATATTTTTTGTCAAGTTTATGCATAAATTTGTCAATGATAACAATAAAAAAATGGAAGAAAGATTTGAATTAACATATATATACCTGTGAAGATCTGAAGATGTGTGCATCGTGTGCATTTCCGGGCCAGGATGTGTTGATATTTGTAAATTTTCCTGTAAAAGAAAATAGTGAATTCATTTTAGAGCACATGCAATTCTCAACTAGCAAAACCAGTTAAACAAAAAAATAAGGACATGTTTTTCTTCCCATTGAATTCAAATTCAAATTAAAATCTCTTTATTCCTAATAAAGAGCATATAAATCAACACAAATCACAAAGTTCATACAATATCCACACAAACAACACATGCAATATAACATACAAACTGATTGTTAATAATTAGATATGATTTAGAACAAATATGGAAACATGATAATACAAAAATAAGTACATGATAGGAGAAAGCCAGTACAAAGAGGAATAACTCTATCTATTTATCTTAACTTTGAATTGGCATGGATCAAAAACACACAAACACAAGTTCATCTGCAACTTAGTTTATGAGACAGTCCCACTTAATATGCTATAGAATTGCCAATTCCATTGAACATGGAGAAACTATTATCAATATACCAACATTCGTATATATGCGTATATCTTGTACTCGTATTTTGAATGGTTCGAGTATACAATGGTTCAAATTAGGTACGAGTTGTCAAGGAAGTAGTTGACTTACTTCCCTTTAATTTTTGTTTTTGCTATAAGGGACATTACACTTTTGTAAACATACCATCTGCATCACACACGGCCTGCACATTGATGATATGGTACCCTTTCCTGTTAACATATGATGCCTCATCAGTGGTAGGTGCCTGTATTCGTACATGCGTACCATCAATGGCTCCAATTACATTGGGAAACCCTCCAATTCTGAAATTCCCAGCCTTTATTTTTTTCTACATCACTTCTTGGCCATTTAATAAACTCGTTCTGCCTCCTACACAATGCAGCTGTGGTGTCCTTTACAACCCTTGACACTGTGCCTTTGTCCAACCCTTTAAAAAGAAATTTTTATTAAAACCATGATGACATAAGAAGAATTTGGCAACTTAGATATTGAGGGTAAATTCGGCAATATATTAACATTAAAAACAAATAAATGAATGAATACAAATATAATAATAAAATAAATTAAATTCTTACCAAGTGTGTCTCCAACAACTTGTAGGAAACTCCACTGGCCAAAAATCTTAGTGTAACCATGACTTGCTGTTCCACAGTAAGTGCATGGTTTCTGTGTGTCCTTCTCTGTAAGTCATCCCTAACAAGGTCTGAGAGCACCAAAATACTACGTCTGCTGAATCGATATCGTGTCTTTAACTCCTTATCAGTGAAATTCAAAGATAAGCCATCCCTGTTGCGAAAATGTCGCGGTCTTCTTTGTTGAGGAACATTGTATAATGCTAAGCCAGCCATGTTTAACGCAGTCGTTAGTATTTAATCATGGGTAAAAATATGATTAAAGTTAGCGAGAGTTTAACACAAAAGTTAACGATAATATTTTTGAACAACACTTAACATTATCGTTATATCATAACGACACGTTAACGGCAGTTTAACGCAGTCGTTAGCCTAACGACACTTTTGAACAAATGGGCCCAGATTGAAATTGAACTTGTTATTGTTTATATTATCTTTATTGCAAAACTTCACAAGGGTCAAAGCAATACAAACAAACACTACAGTTAAATGCAATACATTGGAATACAATAGAATATCTTTCAAGAAACAGTTCAATTAACAAATTTATGAAAAAAAAACACAATTATGATCTTGTCGGACACGGGTCTGACCCCCTCAGTTTTAAAAACTGCTCAATGAAAACTCCAATATGACAAACAAGTTCAGAGGTTGGGTTAAGACTGTGTTTATATACAATTCAATAAATATACGAATAGCACGTTCGAACCTAACATGAAGTACTGTAACCGTATACGATAATATTGTACTATTTTAATGACCTAAAGACACATAATGGAACATTTACAGGTCACCATATGGCAATCTGAAAATCCTATAACAATGGGCCTTCAACATTTTTTTATATTCTATAAAAATAAAGATAAATCCTGAACATAAAACTTAATAAATGATTAATACTGCAACATTCAACGGAAACAAATAAAGGGAGAGAGCAAACAACGACAATCACTGGATATCAGGTTTCCATCGTGTGCACAGACACATATATGTTGTGGATGGGTGCAATATATTGTTGTTTTTTTTGAAATTTTTTTAACGATATTATATATTGTTTTACCAAATATGCTTGTTACATTGTTACTTCAAGAAACCAAGCTTTTCTTAACGTATCCTGTAATATTCCACTGATTACCGAGGTTAGTAGTCAGCTGCTGCTATATTTGTATGTACACATTTCTTGAAATACAATTGTACAAACGTTTTATGCATCATGTTTTATCAATTCAGTCGTGTTGACTTCTTTTAAGTGACTTCAGTATCGAATTTAGTTTCATCATTCTGTTTTCGTTATATCGTTTTATGTATTCTTGAACAAAACATTGATAAACATTTACATTTGTCAACTTCTGTTAAGATACATGATATGATTTGTATATAGAAAAACCTAAAATTGTAATTAAATAATTCAGACCAATTCCTTCATCAAAATTTGCACTTATCATTGATTTACCAGTATAGCCATCTCACTTTTTTATAATACAGTTGTTCACACTGTCAAAACGAAATGCTTTAGATATAATTGGCAATGATACCGTGTCTGTCAAACAAAATTTTAATAATTGACCAATAATGGCAGAGTACTTAGGAAATATTGGATTTTGGAATAACATACACAGATTTCTTTCCCTTTTTGAAGTCTGTTTTGAGTTAATAATGCAACGTTGTTCATTTTACAAATAATGCGCTGAGGTATATACTCCTAGCTAAGCATCACACTTTCAAACCAATAAAATAGTGTTGATGATAGTTAAAGAATATTTTAACCATGTTAAATATGCTGTGTTCATTTTGTTCATTTTAGTAGATATAACTAGAATTGGAAATTTTTTTTTATATGTACCTGACCAATGCATTTTTATATAGAAAATACATTACCAGTGAATAAATATATATATATATATTTCATCGAATCTTGCAATGCATTTAAGAAGGATATACACGACCACTGGTAACGAGAAAAGTTATATTTCCCGTCAATGTTGACTCAAAAACCCTCTAGAACTACTGATAAAGTTTGAATTCAGGTCTGATTTTCTGTATCCTTTAAATGTGATGAATGTGACCATTCTTACTGGACTTTAAGGGGGTAGGCCTCAGTAACCCTAAAATTTTCCCATCGTTTAATATTTTTTAAATTTACACCATTGAATAGGTATGCCTCAATACATGTTCTGGCAAAGTTTTAACAAAATTGACCGTCTTGTTCTAATTTTAGAATTGATTGAATATGGTCAATTTCGGCCATCATTTAAGCCAGTCCAAAATACCAATAGGTATATATATTCGTTTATTTAAGAAAATGCACGGCATAGAATATGACGGTTACTATTTGATTGTATAATGGTATCATATTCTAAAGTAAATATGAACTATAATTGGTATATGTGATATTTTTAAATGAAATGCAAGGTGAGAACTAACGGATACATATAAAACTTGGGTAAGTCTCATTTGGCACTTTCTATATATAAATACACGTGGAAAAATAATTTGTCGTTTAATTTGCATATAAAAATGCTGGAACAAATATCAGTCATATAATTTTCAAATGACAACTTTTTTTTAATTTTCACCGTTTAAATTTTACAAAAACTTTGATCAAAGTGACCTAACGCCCCCCCCCCCCCCCCCCCCAAAAAAAAAAATAGGGTCTTTAGAAGAAAATAATCAAAATTGACATCTATAAACCCTCATAGCTACAATTTACGGTATGAAAGTGCATTGCTGTGTTCATTGAAACAGCAATTATCTTCAATATGCGGATCCCGGGCGGAAAAAAGGGGGGGGGGGGCTAATAAAGAAACGTAAGGAGTGGAACTTGGATATAGTCTATGCATTCCTCCATAAGTGGTTGCTGGTTCGTGACACATCCTTCTCCCACCTATGTAACTATAGCCCCCCCCCCCCCCCCCACATAAATATAGGGCAAAATGACATTTCATCACTATGACATTGGTTACATTCCCCTGGACTACAACATGTACAACCGCTCCGTCAGTTTTTTTACATGTACGTTGGAAGGCTGTGGTAGCAACAAGGACAAAATCCTTCACTTTCTAATTACTTTCTGTGCTAATGCGAGTAAATTGTTAGCTTTAGCTTGTATTTTGATAGTAGTTGAGATCTTATCTCCAAGAGCACAACATGCAGTAGGCTGCTGATCAGGCTGATAATTACTAGGTTTCAGATTTTAATCTGACAAGCCTCATTGACTCCTGATATATTATCATAAGATCTTGGTAAGACTACTGACATTTGTAAATCATTATATCATATTGCAAACGCCAGTTTTTTCTGGTCTGCATGTCCCTCTTTGCATTATTTTTAAAAATATTCATGTCGACCGGTCTGCATGAGATCTGATCTACATGTGTCATAAAACACTTACCAAGAGAAAGATAAAATGCAAATATTTCAACATTTCTATTATCATGATTGTATGTAGTTTGAAAGTTGAGTCATGGTCTCAGTAGAACTAGTATGTCCAAAAATAACAGTTTGTTATATATCTGATCTATAGACTATAGTCACTGATAGATAGTTATGGGGTATATTTTATTTAACCTATAGCTGTACTATGTAACCTATGGGAATGCAACAAGAGTATAAATATCAATAACCGAAAATTATACCATAGCTATCTATGGTATAATGTTTACAATTATACCATGGTTTTGTTGTATTTGGTATTCGAAAAGAAAAAAAGAAAGATAGCAAGGCCTATCCGAGGCCGCCTGAATTTTTTGAAATAGGAACAACAGAGTCAGTGTGGGGCCACTAAGCTAAACTGCCCGTTTTGCACCAGTCGATATAAATGAATGCCTAGGGTGGGAATCGAACCCACATACACCAACTCCGTTGTCCTATATTTTTAAATGAATGAAAATTCGATTCAAGAACAAAGTTAAAAAAAAAGTATATATAAATATATTATTATTATATTATACTTGAAAATATAATTCGATTTTCGGTTATTGAGATGTATACTTGGATTGTAGTCCCTTAGGCTCAACTGTATAGCTACATGTAAAGGTTGAAATTTGCCGTGGTGGCTTTTTTAAGGGGGAGGGAGGGAGAAGGCATGCCCCTTTCAAGAAGCTTTATATATGGTAAATGCATAGATAATTCGTATTATTACTCCAAATGTTGGATGGCTAGACCCCCCCCCCCCCTCTCCTTTTTAAAATCCTGGATCCGTATCCGATTTTATATACATCTTAATTTAACGATTTGCTTAAGTAATAACTATAATGTTGGGCCGTTAAGAATCGAAAGCGTCTGGTTACTCTAAATAAAGGTGATCTTTTTGTTTAAATTATCTATAGTCTACATGTGATTTTTAATGATCTTTAATCGTAATCATTTTGAAATCCCTTTGAATTAAATTAAATTAAATGTACAACTTGGGCTTCTGGTACAAATTAAAACATGGAATGATTCACCCAAACTCTCAGAAAAATTCTGGTGAATTAAATTTCCACAGAATAATAAATTAATACCAAAAACTTAAAAACATTTCAAATATTTTGATAAAATAAAAAAAAAAAAAAACTAACCCTTTGCAGTTCAACTTTAAATTTGGAAATTTTTCAAACTATATCTTGCGTTCCTGTGCAGAACATATAATTCCTTCAACAGTTTTTAGTCTGTAACGTTACCCGTCATCAATGTAGATATGCATCCATCGCTGTCGAAAAATCCTGTCCAACTGATTTTCCCGCTGTTTCAGAAGCCCGTGCGTATTTTAGAAAGTAGGCGGAGCTTAATGTGTAAGGTCCTAAAAGGGTAATTTGACCGAATTATTTTTAAAGTTAATAAACAAAAATATATGAAATACACATTTTTAAACAACAACATATGCAATAGGTTAAAACAGATATTTTATATATTTTGGTTAGTTTTGTGGTGTTTCGTAAATTATACCATACTTTTTTGTTGAAATCCCTCGGCAACCTCACTCGACTTCGTCTCGTGAGGTTATTGCCGGGGGTTTCAACAAAAGCTGTGGTATAATTTACGAAACACCACAAAACTATTCAAAATATATGAAATATCTATAACATAACAAATGTATTCATAAGATATTGTGACCTGATAAGTGATATCTGTCACATTGTGGACATGCATGCAAATTTCATTGAATTTTCTTAGGAACTACAAACCAAGGCTTTGTGGTTTTTTTTTTAAGATTTTTTTGGAAATGAAATCTCATCTGTATTATACTGTTTGATGCATTTTCACTTCCATCACATTCCAACTTCTTGTTTATCAAATATTTAGAACTGGGATATTTTAGTGATCAACAGCTCACAGTTCCAACTTGTTAAACATTTTTAGATTGCTGTCTCATTGATAGGCACCCTGTTATTTCTTCCATCTATACATGCATTCCGCTGAACAAGTATACATTATCAATGTTATTGTTAAGGGGTCAGATGAAGATAGCCTCAGGATCAGGATTTTCTCGCTGCGTTGAAGACCCATTGGTGGCTTTGCATGGGCTGTTTTGTTCTCTTAGGTCGGGTTGTTGTCTCTTTGACACATTACCTGTTTCCATTTTCAATTCAACATAAAAAACAACAGAAATAAAGCTTGAAGGAAGTATGTATGTTTTTTCAGGTTTCCAAAATAAAGAAAATAGGGTACAGAGTGTAGCTATATTTTTCCCCCTAAAATATCAAATCATTTAGTACCAAAATAGTCAAATGACACTTTCATTTAAAAATAAACCAAGGTATATTAGGGAAACCTGAAAGTCATGCATTTTATTTGAATCTTAGTCATTTGTAGTAAAATTGTACACTGTTTCATAACAAGGTGATATATAATAATGCAATATAAATGGGTCAGTAGCCTATTACTTTAAAAAAAAATACAAATGAAAGCCAAAGTCATAATATTAGGAGTAAATGGTGATAAATCTAATCACACTTCTTATCAGCTTCTAAAATAACACAGCCCTTACTATCACAATTATGTTGACTGTCAGAATAAAGAATCCATACGTCTTTACCAAATTAATCCTTCATAACAGTTCTTGAATTAATCTTTTGTATCTAAATGCACAAATTTCTACAATTTTTTACCGTGTTTTCACATACTTAACATATTACGTTAATGCTGAACATGTATATTGATAATATTGACTTTCTAACATTAGAACTCGTCGTTTGCAATGTCTTATATTTCTGCCTATCTTTGCACTAAGACAGAGAATTTCAAACAACAATATAACAAAGATTACAACTAATTGTTGTGTAGGTAGTTCCATTGGCTTCATTTAACAATAAGATAATCAATGTTTTCAGTTTTCTACAATTTGAACTTGTAGGTAAATAGAAATAAGAAGATGTTGTACATGTACGATTGCCAATGAGACAACTATCAAGACCAGAGTTCAAATGAATTGGATGTAAGCAATTATAGGCCACAGTGCGGCCTTTCACAATGAGAAAAACCCATAATGTATTATAGTTACCTAACTGTACTAAAGGCCCAGCCATGAAAAATGTGAAATTTATATATATATATTATTTGGCCAAACACCCAATAGATATAAGAAGATGTGGTATGAGTGCCAATGAGACAACTCTCCATCCAAGTCACAATTTGTAAAACTAAACCAGGGTTTCACACTAAGGCAAGTCCATGAGTCCTGGACTCATAAAAGTCTGTTTGGACTCACCATGTTCAAACCTGGTGAGTCCAAAGATGCTTCAAGATTGAAATATTTTGTATAAACTGAACACACATATCATCATTTTATAGCAAAAGTTTAAAAGAAATCTGAATTTAATGTAATTTCATTGCTCTATTAGGTCATGGAGGCTAAAATAATAAATTGTATTGCAATAAAATATCTTCTTCTTACTGTTGGACTCACCATGGCCAAAAATGATGAGTCCCTGGACACGCCTTCAAAAATCCTTAGTGAGAACCCTGGTCAACCATTATAGGTCAAAGTACGGTCTTCAACACGGAGATTTGGCTAACACCGAACAGCAAGCTATAAAGGGCCCCCAAAATGACTAGTGTAAAACCATTCAAACGGGAAAACCAACTGTCTAATCTATAATAAAAAACAAGAAACGAGAAGCACTTATGAACCACATCAACAAACGACAACTACTGAACATCAGATTCCTGACTTAGGACAGGTGCAAACAAATGCAACGGGTTTAAACGTTTTAATAGGTACCAACTTTCACCCTTATCTGAAACAATAGTGTAACATCACAACATAGAAAGACACACTATAAAATATCAATTGAAATAGCTTAACTCAATCAAAAGACATATTAACACAAGTGAACATACACTGAATGAATAAATTTGATCTATGATACAAGTCTTAATGTTTTTTTTAAAAGTAATCCCTACGCAATAAAGATATATACATGTATAACCAGGATGGTTTTCCAAAAAGAGAGAGAAAAATCTTACTAGATTAATGGTGTCCTTTCACAATGAATTCTAGTTACTGATGCTTTAACCAAATCAGCTGAATGGCAAAATTGTATGTGCATATTTCTCCGATAGATCTTTTTTTTTAAATATGTATGCTTGGTTACTAGTTAAAAGCTGAATCAAGTCAGATATTTAGCTCCAATTTTTGCATTTATCGTAAAATGTTCCAAATATTAAAGTTTCATTCTTAAATCAGAAAAGGTAACTGTTATAAAATCCATAAAATAGAATTACCAATATCTTTCCAAGACAAAACACAATATAAATACATTGTATACTTGATGGTGTACAATTTGACAAGATAAAACATTATGTGCATTTTAATCTAAGAACAGCATTCCTGCAACGGAAATTTCTTTTGTCATGACTATAAAATTTACTGTTCACTTGCAAAAGCAGCAACGAATACAGAGGCAGTTTTGGAAGGAATGTTAAACTCTTGTAACAATAATCGTATTATATTTTCATCTCTTCTGTTAGTTATCTGTAAGTGTGATAAAGATATGCCATTTTTTGCAAGTCTAATGCAAGTGTCTCTGCTTACAGTTTTGTTTTGAACTAAATTATCATAGGAAGATTTGCAACTACAATAGCAAATGCTATGAATATCATTATCTTTACATTTATTCTTCATTTCTTGGTGAAAGAGATGTTGAAGAGACTGTACATCTTCTATGGCATTGTGTGCACTGTATTCCAACCCAACATACTTTAAAATAAGAGTTGATTGTTTGTAATTGTCTACCTCATTTCGAGGGAAAATTCTTTTAGCTATTTTAAGTGTGTCGATAAATCAAGAAGTAACATTACAAAAAGAAGAAAATAAGCTGAATTCTTTCAATTTGTTTGACAGTATTGCTATGTCAAAATTACAGATGTTATGTCCAACAAGGAGTGGATTTTGAATTGTTTTTAAAAATTCATTAAAATCTAACAATGCTTCATACTGGGATTTGGTTTCCACTTCCTTCCCATGAACATACATTTTATTCATAGCCAAACAGCAGGTAATTCCTGTTACTTTTGAGGCTTCAACAGAAATATCACATCTTGGTCAAATGTAAGATTGATATAGTGTCTTATCATAAACAGCTGCTATCTGAGTAATATCACTAACTCTGCTTAAACCTGTCGTTTCAAGATCAAAAAATGTAAATGATTCTGTTCCGTCCAGTTTCAATGGCGATGGAATAGTTACGGCCTCAGTATCTGATAAGCCTATCGTTGCAATTTCTGGTTGATATGAAACAGAATCATGGATAGTGAATCGCCTTTCTTTCTTATTCCTTTTTTTCTTAAGTTCAGTTCTTTTTTTCTTTAACTCACGACTTCGCCTTTTAATCCTTCTTTTCAGTTTCGCTGTATCCAGTTTCTTTGCAATACTTTTTGTGTATTCTCCTGGAGATAGAAGTGCAGCTTCATTCATCTGAAGTATTTTGATGTAAAATTTAACACAGAGATATGTCTCGCCTTTTTCGTAATTTTGGTAATGCAAATGTTGAAATTAAAAAAGCAATACTTTATCATGTAAGTTACGATGAGGGGGTGGGGCTATATAATCTCCATGGAAACGAGACTTGCAAATGTCAGTAAATTTGCATACCAAATATCATTGACTTGGCATTAGGGATTCACCTTAAACTGATCACAAACTAATACATGTAAACTAAGTCAAAGTATTAAAGTCAATAGACCATGAATGAGGGGGCAGGGCCAAATATTCCCCATGGAAATGAGATGAGCTAATCCTTATACAACTTCAGACCAATTAACATTGGCCTACCACAAATGGTTCCCCTTGAACTGACCTAATCACAAACTAATACATGTAAACTAAGCAAAAGTTTCAAAGTTAATAGACCATGACTGAGGAGGCAGGGCAAAATAATGTCTGTGATAAGAAGATGTGCCAATGCTAATACAACCGCATACCAAATATCATTGAAATATCACAAATATTTATGTCAATTCTATAATTAAAAACAAAAAGAAACATTCAACTGTTAAAATTTCATTTACAAGTATCCTAAGTTACCATAATTCAATTTTATTTATGGAGTTTTTGAAATTTGGATTTACACTTCTGAAGAGCCAAAAATTTCTAGAATTAAACTTGTTTTCTTAACCTGATTTTTGGGTTTATAGGACTGTAAAAAAAAAAAAATTGGTGAAGAAAAAATCATATGGTGGTGCACTTCTTTTTTTGATATGGCCATTTGAAAGTACCCAATTCTGATGATTTTCCCATTTTTCATCAATTTTTACCCATTTTTGGGCTGTTATCATGGAAGAAATCAGTTGCACACTTAAACTTTTTTTAATACTTTCAATAAAGATGAAGGGGACCAATCTGAATAAATTTAACTTAAAAAAACTGTAGGTAGGTGTTAATATAAGAAAGTTTTTATAAAATTTTGTTGCTTTTTCGTGTAAAATTTTGACAAAAAGCATAATATTTCAACTTCTTTGTTATAAATGATTGAACAAATACACATCTAAGAAATTTGAAAAGAACAAAATTATATGGAATGTACATGTTTATGGTAAAATCATTTCTTGTATCCCTCACCCATTTTCCCAACATTTTGGCTGATGAGACTGACTTGATTGGTATTAAAATTTGCAAATTCAATTACCCAAAAACTACTTTCTGTGGATTCATTAGTATTCGTTGGAAACAAATTTTCGTGGATTTCGTTGGTACAGGTGTACCACGAAATTAAATGTTGAACAAATAACAAATTTTCTATAGGCTTGTATGCAGACTTCAACAAAACCACGACATTAAATATCCACGAACATGTTAGTTTTCCTTAATCCACGAAAATAAATGAATCCACAGTATTGTAAATACACATTTTTTTCAAAGAGTTAATTTTGATAATAATATTTTTTAAATGCATTGTTTTCCATTTGTATCACCTGTGAAAATTAGGAGATGTGGTATGATTGCCAATGAGACAACTATCCACCAAAGTTCAAATGAAGTGGATGTAAGCAATTATAGGCAACCTTACGGTTGTCAACAATGAGAACAACACATTCTGTATAGTCGGCTATAAAAGGACCTAATGGCTGTTCTTAAATTACTGACATATTGACATACCATAATCTAATTGTATTAAGGATTATCAAAACCTCCAAAAATTCACATTAACCTGTTCTAAGTAATTGTAACCCTCATTCTTTTGAAGCACAGCCGATGACACTCTACTTGCTAGGGATTGTGAACCACCATAGTGTCTGAAATATAAGTAACCTATATGTTTTCTTACAGTCAAACATGTTATGTTTGTACACATAAATTTTTGAGATAACATGTATTATTGAAAGGATAAAAAATTTAAACCTTTCCTTTGTCCCAATCATACAATATATAATTAGTACACAAATGCATTGATGACTTCCTTCCTACTTTATCTACCTATTGACCATGGGAGACCCTCATGGGTAGTCAAAGTTGTTAAACAACCCCTATTAGTAGTTTATCTGCTCAGCACAGCAGGCAATGTGTGGTGTAAGTAAATAATGTTAATGGCTGAAAATGAAAAATATTATAAAGTCTATATACAATATCGTAGTTCTTTTTTATTGTTGAAGGCTGTATTGTTGCTTATTTTCGCTTACATCAACCTCATTAGAGCTTTGGTGGATAGTTGTTTCATTGGCAATCATAGCACATCTCCTTATTTTAATAGAGTCATTATACCAAATGTAAAAAAGTAAAACAATAAAAGCTATAAAGTTTATGGGTGTTTACTTCATAGATTTGATCTAATGTTCCATTCAAGATTACAAAGAAATCTGGTGTAATTTTTGCTGCACACAGTTAGTTTTCAAAATAGGAACATTTTGTTTTCTTCCTGTCATAATCAGACTCATAATGGAAACATAACACAAATGTATAATGTTGATTTTCAACTTAAGGTAGATTCGTTGTATACCGCCATCTTGGATTGTACAGTAGCAGTACACTATCAGTGTAGTTCTTTGTCTTAATCTGCTAATTTTGAGACAGATTTGCAATTCATGTGTAAGGCTGTTTATTTTAAATGTTAAAACAAATGACAAATATTTGTGTTTTTTAGAATTGATTTTTCAACTTAGCCATTTAAGGGGAGATACCTGTTATAGCAAAAATGTTAGACTGGAATGATAGTGAAATATTTGTTTTTTACTTCTAGCAAGAAAACAAGTTCGGTGACCCCATTTTTATTTTCTTAAAGCATTTTATAAAGCCTATCTCCTCATATTTCATTTCAAAATTCTCTCTCATAGATTTCTTTTTATATACATAAATATGTTTTTTTATGAACTATCTTTACAAATTTGGGCAATTTACCACGACTTGTAGCTTGAAAAATAGCACGGTGACCGATACTTTTTATTATATTTTTGAAAAAAGCATAGTAAAATCTTCATCTTGGCAAAGTATAAGAAAATTCTATCTTAGGAAATATATACCGATGATCCACTTTAACAATATTGTAGAAATTTTACTCACTTGGACTTCGGAGCCTTTCTTGCTGCAGAATGGTTGAAGCTCTCATAAGCCTGTGTGGATCCTAAATTTCTTAGTGAAGATGCCTTGCTTTCATATTTCTCTATAAGATTCTCTAGATCTCTCCTCAGATCTTCACTAATCAGAGGCTTTCCATTAGAATGGCTTTTATATCTACATGAACAAAAAATCTTGGAATTTTAAACTAATTTAATTAAGCTATACAATTACTAAATTATTACTGTTAACCTTTAATGTGTTCAACATGGTTTATATTCATGAATATAAACTTTTTATTGCATTGGATATCTGCCCTTATATTAACAGATTAAGCTGACATTTGTCATTTTAAAGTAACATTGATAGTTGAAGAATATATATACATTTTAGCTCACCTGGCCCAAAGGGCCAAGTGAGCTTTTCTCATCACTTGGCGTCCGTCGTCCTTAACTTTTACAAAAATATTCTCCTCTGACAAATTTAACCAAACTTGTTATAAATAGGGAAAATCTGAAAGGAGCAAAAATGTTCAGAATAATGAGCTCTACCAATTGTCCATATACGTCAAAACTGTTAAACAAATTTTTATAGGGGTTATTGCCCATAAATGACAAATTTTACCATTTTTTTCATTTTTGTCTTTTATCATGAAAACTATGATATTTAGAGAGAAACATTTTTTTTCTGTTATGCCTTTATATGATTTTAATTATAATAGATAAATAAACACTTTAAATCACAAAAATTTGTTTACAAGGGTTCCGCGGAACCCAGTATCTCGCCTACTTTTGCTGTTAGTCGCAGGCTCAACAAAAATGGGGAAAAAATTATTAAAAATTTTCCTCTAGATACTATCTTTTGACTGTAAGAAGCTTCTATCCAAGTTTGGTAAAAATCCAGGATGGGTTATGAATCTAATAAATGTTTTATAAACTTTAACCGCAGACTGTATGTAATGTAATGTTAACTGGAAGTAAAACTAAGTCCATTTATAAGTAATATACGGAAAAACAGGAAATATATGTTTACAAAATTTTCTTCTAGATACTAGCTTTTGATCATAAACAAGCTTCTGTCCAAGTTTGGTATAAATCCAGGATAGTTTAAGAAAGTAATTAAAATTTTAAAAACTTTAACCACAGAGTGAATGTATTGTTAACTGGCAGAAAAACTAAGTCCATTTAAAAGTAAAATACGGATAAACAGGATTTTTTTTTTACAAAATTTTCTTCTAGATACTAGCTTATGATCATTAACAAGCTTCTGTCCAAGTTTGGTAGAACTCCAGGATAGTTTAAGAAAGTTATTAAAATTTCAAAAACTTTAACCACAGTGTGAATATTTGTGGACGCCGCCGTCGACGGAATGTAGGATCGCTATGTCTCGCTTTTGCGACAAAAGTCGCAGGCTCGACAAAAATGATCAGCAAGGCAAGATCTATTAAAAAGTCAAATTTTGCCGATGTAGGTAGTAGACTCAGTCACTCTTCATAGGAGCGATTGCCCTTAAATGAGGATTTGTTTTACCCTCTTTTGTGTTATGAGCAAAAACTAAAGAGGATAGAGAGAAACTAAAACAGACTAAAAGATCAGTAATACAAGATCAACAAAATAGAGATTTTTGTCATGAAGTCTATTCTCGTCTACAATGTCTGAGAGTGTTCTTTGTTTGAAATGCATATAGACCAAGGTGAGCGACACAGGCTCTTTAGAGCCTCTAGTTATGTGTTATTGCTGACCAGAATATAAGTTTCTTTTTTTTATTACATATGACTAGGTAAAAATGAGCTTACAATGACAGTTTCAATATTTATCAATATTAGCATTGTTTCTTGTACAATTGAACTATAATTATATATTAATATAGTATTCATGAACTTATTTTTGTTTATCATCTTCTTTGATTTGTCTCAATGTTTTCCGGAAAAGGGAAATGTGGTTAGATATGAATGAGACAGCAAAGTTACAATTTAAAAAGAACCATAAAAAATATCTTTAGGTCATGCATACTTGAAAGATATAGGATCATCTTTAAATGTACACCAGTCTACTGCACCACACAATCCATGATCTCCAAAGACATGGGGAACAATTCTCGAAAGACCCTCATCAATTTTAAGATCACTGCTGCTGTTCTGTGTAATTGCATACATGAAACATCTGTTCAGATAGGGAATTACTTCTCCTGGCTTCAGCTCCTTGTGCCTACAAAATTATATTTTTTATCATTACATAAGTTGAAACTGAAAATCAGGGTCTAAACTTTGACTTTGTACATCATTTAAAAAGTTCAAATCATAATTGGTACTAAGTTTCAAGTTAATCTGACTATAGCTGCATGGGGATGTTAAATCTATCTTTGAGTGAACCTAAATAGACCCCCCCCCCCCCCCAAAAAAAAAAATAAAAAATAAAAAAAGGTGCTCTGGTTTATTAAGCAGTTCCTGATCCACTTTTGGAACCTGTTGTGTTGCTTATTCAAGACAATCAAGGACCAATCCAGTAAACATTAACAATTATGCATGAAGTTCTCAACAATATATGTTATAATGTTATTTGCTTGACATAGGTGAGGGTGTTGAAGAGGGTTTACAGAATAGAAAATTATGGGCAAAAAAAAAAAAGAATAGGGAATAATGAGGTGCTAAAATATAAAGATTGGAGAAAAATGGACATAAGTTTAAAGAATAGAGAAAATAGCATACAACATTAAAGAATACAGAAACGAAGAACCCCCCATCTAGATCCTCATAGGTAAGACAAGAGCCAAAAAACAATTATGACTGAAAACATAATTTGTATTACCTTTTAGACAATTCAATCAGTGATTTTGTTATTCCCTTTGTAGTGTGATTTTGGTCATCCTTTTTTTTCAAGTTTTCAAAGTCCATTTTCAGTTTCAACATGGTAGTTGAATCATTGTCAGCATGAATGACGTCAATCGGGCATTCATTATCAGTCATCTTATGTGCCATGGAAACAGCCATATCTGGTTCCATAGACTTACTAGACCCATACCAATTTCTACAACAGTCATGAACTTTCATTCTTTCCCTCATGATGCTCACAAAATTTACAGCTTTTGCTTCTTATATCATAGCAGGTCACTTTCCCTGTTTGCTTTCCTATCATTGAAGCATGTCCTGAAATTCAATATGAAATTACAAATTTTGGTGGAAAAAGAAAATATTACAATTCCATATACAAAAATATAGTGTGTTTGTATGCATACATATATATATCTTGTAATGTCTGATTATTTTATTAGTTCACAATTAACAAAATATTTGTTTGAAATATGAATAGAAAATTATTGAGGATTAGATCAGTCAGCAAGAAACTCCAAAACTCAATAAATCTAGAATAGTATAGAAAGTCCCTGATCTTAAAGTAGAAATATTTTTCAACGTGAATTAATTGTAAAAATTTGTTTATTACATCTGGTTAGGTATTATATATTCTTAACTTGAATTCAGGTGCATGTAAGTTAGTAGGTCTCAATAAATCTAAAATAGTATAGAAAGTCCCTGATCTAACATTCATTACATTATTTTTAGCTCACCTGGCCCAAAGGGCCAAGTGAGCTTTTCTCATCACTTGGCGTCCGTCGTCCGTCGTCGTCGTTCGTCGTCGTCCGTCGTCGTCGTTAACTTTTACAAAAATCTTCTTCTCTGAAACTACTTGGCCAAATTAAACCAAACTTGGCGACAATCATCATTGGGGTATCAAGTTTAAAAAATGTGTCCGGTGACCCGGCCTACCAACCAAGATGGCCGCCATGACTAAAAATATAACATAGGGGTAAAATGTAGATTTTGGCTTATATCTCTGAAACCAAAGCATTTAGAGCAAATCTGACAAGAGGTAAAATTGTTTATCAGGTCAAGATCTATCTGCCCTGACATTTTCAGATGAATCTGACAACACGTTGTTGGGTTGCTGCCCCTGAATTGGTAATTTTAAGGAAATTTTGCGGTTTTTGGTTATTATCTTGAATATTATTATAGATAGAGATAAACTGTAAACAGCAATAATGTTCAGCAAAGTAAGATCTACAAATAAGTTAACTTGATCAAAATGGTCAGTTGACCCCTTAAGGAGTTATTGCCCTTTAAAGTCAATTTTTAACGTTTTTTCGTAAATTTTTGTAATCTTTTACAAAAATCTTCTTCTCTGAAACTACTAAGGCAAATTTAATCAAACTTGTACACAATCATCATTAGGGTATCTAGTTTAAAAAATGTGTCCGGTGACCCGGCCAACCAACCAAGATGGCCGCCATGGCTAAAAATAGAACATAGGGGTAAAATGTAGATTTTGGCTTATATCTCTGAAACCAAAGCCTTTAGAGCAAACCTGACAGGATAAAATTGTTCATTAGGTCAAGATCTATCTGCCCTAACATTTTCAGACCAATCAGGCAACATGTTGTTGGGTTGCTGCCCCTGAATTGGTAATTTTAAGAAAATTTGGCAGCTTTTGGTTATTATCTTGAATATAAATATAGATAGAGATAAACTGTAAACAGCAATAATGTACAGCAAAGTAAGATCTACAAATAAGTCAACATGACCAAAATTATCAATTGACCCCTTAAGGAGTTATTGCCCTTTATAGTCAATTTTTTTACAATTTTCATAAATTTTGTAAATTTTTGTAAATTTTTACAAAATATTTTCCACTGTAACTACTGGGCCAAGTTCATTATAGATAGAGATAATTGTAAGCAGCAAGAATGTTCAGTAAAGTAAGATCTACAAACACATCATCATCACCAAAACACAATTTTGTCATGAATCCATTTGTGTCCTTTGTTTAATATGCACATAGACCAAGGTGAGAGACACAGGCTCTTTAGAGCCTCTAGTTAGTTTTACCAGCTATTAATACTATACTGACATTGGCTGAAGTTTTCATCAATCTTCAAATTTTGTGTATCTGTCACTATTGAGTTTATAAAAATCAGAAAAAGGACCTTTGGCTTGAATTATTAAGCTTGTTCACATTTAAGTGAGATTCTCATACATGAACAGTCTTATGTGAAACATTAAACATGTAGACATCACATGCAGTTCTGATTGGTATGCATATTAATTAATTGTAATTTATATAGTACTGTAGTTGTACATGCATGTATAGCTAGATTATTAAGGTTTTGATCTTATTATACAAAACTATAGTTGCAAATTCACCATTAAAATTGTACCAACAAAAATAAATATGTTTGCACATTTATAAAGTGCAGGTTTACCTGTTACGATATTGTAATTGAATCCTGTCCCACGTTTTTGCCAACCTGCATCAAAACTGACCTCAAGCTCCAACTCCTAAATTACATTAATTTGATAAAAATAAGACATCGCAATAAGGTAGTAAACAAATTATGAATAATTTGAAAATTTATATTGTCTATTTAAATTCTTAAAGAATTATAAAAGACGTAACATAAAAAAGATTAACTTATTTTATTAATCATTTTGAAATTAATTTATTGATCTGTTTTAACACAATATAAATAAAATATATATATATATGTTGTGTACAAGATGTACAGGTTTTTTTTTACACATACCTTTTTGCACCAGGTGATAAAAGTTTATCCTCAAAAATTTATCAACTTAATGTTTTAAATTCAAATCTATATACTTCAACCTGAAATTTAGTGCTATTCTCCTTGTTCTAAAGCTGGAAATAAGAACACCTGAATGGTTTAAATTCTATTTTTTTCCCTCTGTATACTGAAATCATATCCATAAAAAGTATTTCTGTGTTCTTATGTTTTTTTGTAACAATGCTCAGTATAACTATTAGATTGTATCATGTAGTCATGGAAATATGACAGAAGTATGTGAAACAAAAGACTGTGATTGTATCATCCATTTGCATTAAGCAGTTCAATGAAACACTAATAATTTGTACAAAGTTCTATGCAAATTATAATTGGTATACAACACATATATATGTTGTGTACAAATTGTAATGTTGTACAAATTATAATTTGTACAGAATTTTTGTACAAGTTATTAGTGTTTTATGAACCGCTTAACACAAATGGATGATGCAAGCACACAGTCTTTTGTTTCGCATATTTCTTCTGTCATATTTCCATGACTACATGATACAGTTTAATACTGAGCATTGATACACAAAACATTATAAGAACACAAAAAGACTTTTCATGGATATGATTTTGGTATAAGGAGAAAAATAAAAATAGAATTTAAACCATTCAGGTGTCCTTATTTCCAGTTTGAGGACAAAGAGAATAACACTAAATTTTAGGTTGGAGTATATAAATTTGAATTGAAGACATTAAACTGATACATTTTAGAAGATAAACTTTTATCACCTGGTGCAAAAAGGTATGTGTCAAAAAACTTATAAATTGTTCAAAAACCCTGTACAAATTATAATTTGTACAACAATTACATCTTGTACACAACATATATATATATATATAATTCTATTGATTTTTTTTTATTTTGATTTATAGATGGACATATATAAGATTGTTCTTTTGACTTCTTATGTTTTTAATTGTTGGAGAAGTTATATTTTTAATTGTAAATGTAAATTACTTTTCATTCAATTCAGAAAATGATGCTTTTTCCATGTTTATGTAGCCCTAATTACAAATTGTGTGTTATATTTTATCTGTACCTTTAGGACAAGTTTTGTGATTTTGGGGCCTTTTATAGCTGACTATGCAGTTTAGGCTTTGCTCATTGTTGAAGGCCGTTGGGTGACCCATAGTTGTTAATTTCTGTGTAATTTGGTCTCTTGCAGGGCCCCCTTTTTGTGTGAAAAAATTGGTTGATTATATAGGGAATCACTGAAGCATGACTGCAGCAGGCCACCTCTTTGGCAGTCAGTTGGTCCCCACTTATGAAAATTTCTGGATTCGCCACTACATGTACTAAGTTTTCACAACCAAATAAAACCATTGGTTTTATAGAGTGATAAAAGAAAAGGTGCAGTAATATATTTTAAAATATGTTGAAACTGGCAAATATTTTTTGGTAAATTTGGAAAGTGACCTAAATTCCTGGTACTCTCTTTAATCTTCTTTCATTTTACTCACTACTTAAGGATTGTCTAGCTATATAGAGACATACATGTAAGGACAATAATCACCATGTGGAGAATATATATATCTGCCTACCATAGTCTACCCTTTTCTTTTTTTAATTTCTATCCTACCACAGTGGTATTTTTACATTATCTGCATTAAGATATCTTTTATCTTTACCACATTGGTATTAGATTAGAAAACTGTGTATATAGTTTCTCAATGTACATGAATCATATTATGTTATCATTTGTCAATAAACATTTTGCAGAACTGTAGATTTTTAACATTTATTGCAATTAATGTTTTTTGTATAAACTTTGAATATCCATTTTATATTTTTGATACTTGAAAATATCTGTCCTTTCAGTTCAGTAGTTGTAAATGTCTTTTTTGAAACAAAACAAAATTTGGAAGACAATTTCAAAAGGGGAAAACACAGGGGAAGTAACTCTACACACAATTATATCCAATAGATGCATTTAAAAAGAATAGTCAATCTCATCATCTCTAAAATATTATCTACAAAGACATTTCTGAATATACATGTATGTTATTGTCTTCTTTTGTTGGGTGAGATATGAAGTGTACCCAATATTGGCAATAAAGGTAAAACTTTTCAAAGGAAATAGGTGGATATGCTTAACACGAACATTGTTTACATTTTACATAAAATTAAAAAAGTAAATTTTGATAAAATACGTAAATGCAATTGATATTTATTAAAGTATTTACCTATGACTATCTTAGCAGCGATGTCGAATGATCCAGTTGGACCCACTTTTCCCGTTGGCACGTCTGTTACCGTTCTGCATTCTGAGTTGGTGCATAAAATTTGAAGATAACTGCCGAATCCGGTCGTCTGTTCATGGAGGGTATCATGCAGGTGCAACGGAACATTGCACCTGCAACAATACATTTTATCTGCCAGTACGCCTAATTCTACTATACGTCTCCCCATCTTCCAATTGCTGTCAATCATTCCTTCATTCCCGGCCACTTCCTCCTCCGCCCCGATATCCATGTAATTATGTTGCACATATGTGTGATCATTTGTTTCTTCAATACTAATTTGTTTGAACGATTTGTTCAAAGTTTTGAAACAGTTAGAACGCTAAGACTTCTTTTTGGATTCAAATAAACCTCTCATTGTGGTTATCGTCTGCCACTGTCAGTATCCAAGGTAAACGATCTGTGTACACAGATGCTTGAAATTGAGTGCCTTAATAAAAAGCATCAATGACTTCAAGTAGATGTGTACGAGTTATTTCCCTTACCCCAGGTCTACCACCTTAAGTCTAAACAGAAACATAAATCGCCAAGAAGCTTTTTTTTACTGTGATATCACGATGACACTGTTGTTCAACAAATTTCAATAAATCTTTTTGGCTCTATGTCATCAACATTTAGCTTTACATGAGTTATGTTGTTTATCGAATGAACATGTTATCTAAAAGAAGTGTATAAAATCGAATAATTAAATACAATAGATCCAAAGGATCATTATTAGCGCTTCTTCGCACATTATAATGTACCTTCTTAACCATCATTGATAGGTTATAAATAATTCTTAGACATTTGTATTAATCTTCAATTATTATAGCTCATATCATTATCAAAGAGATATTAATTGTCGAAAGCGCATCTGTAGTAATAGAATTGATTTCGCTAATTGTATTATTTCGTTTTATTGTTTATCATCACTTTGGTCTACTTTTAAGATGTGATACTTGTTATATGTGGCCTTGCTAGCCCTGTCTAGTATATGTTTTAGTAAACTTTGTCGTTATCAATGTTTAAAGTATCCCATTGTCATTTGATTTCCTTTTAATTTGATTTTCGGGAAATTCCCTCTTTATAAAAGACATTGCTCTTTCCTACGAACAAAGGTTTCTGTAATTTGTTTTATTTTTCGATTTTGTCAAGTCATATTTTCTACGGTATTAATTTTAATTCCATCTGATTTAGTCAACCTTTACAACTTTTCTTTCTGATGAAATACACTTCGCTTTGAGTTTGTATAAAACAACAAAAATACGTCTGTACTTATTCGAGACAATGTATTGATACAGAGAGTAATCATGAGCATAGGTTATATATTCGACAAATGCCCTGACGAATACAATAGGGTAACGACGACATGTCATGGACATTGTCTAAAGAAAAAACATATTCGTAATTGAATATCTGTTTTATAAATTGGATATTTGAAATGCAGTACGACCTGTTTCAAAGCAATACTTCAATTTTGAAGTGTTTGTTATAAATATAACGCAATGCCAACATTGATTAGTCCAAAACATGTACTATATGTAAGGAGGTTGATATCTTAGATTGTACCTGTCTTGGGAAAATATCAAGGTATCATGTTACGAGGGCCGTCATATTGTTTATACATTGAATCACCATGTTTAATTGCATTATTAATACAATGTAGCTTTTAGTGAACGTATTTTTTTTACAATAAGTCATTGCAACATTTACCTTTGAGGTTAGAAAATGGTCTATTGCTAAATACTAGTTCCGTCCAGTATACCAGTATACCAGTGTAATCGTTAAAAGTATTTTTTGTTAGATATAAATTTTTTATCCCAGTCGATTGACTTTGCAGAACCTACATGTACCTATCGGTTTATAGTAAAACATTATATGATGTAACCAATTTAAGGTGTAATCAAATGCTTTTTTTTTAAATAATCCTCGTGTAGTATCGTCCGCCTCTATCTTAATTGTGACAAAAAATAATGTAACAATACATATATACTCAAACACATACTGAATTTGCAATTTTAATTTTCTTTAGTCACATTTTGGTTTGTCTTTCAGGTGGATGTATATTGTTGAACGGACTGTAGGAATATCGAAGTCAAGATTCGATTTAGCGGAACAACAGACGATTGTTAACTTTACATCACCATTAGTTGAATGCATGGATATAGGTAAGTTGTCATCAGTTGTACTTGTTAAAATGTTCCATAAAATGTGACAATTGACCTTTTTTGTTTCATTATAAGATTCGATAATTATAATCCTATTTTTGTATAAATGTGTTAATGTAAATGTATGCATGTACCAACAATAAAATAAAATACTGCAAAAGATATATAAAGACTTTATAAATGTTCTCATGAAAAACGTCGCCGTCTATCTGGCATTACCATCAAGAGTGATATCCTAATGAGCAGTTCAGTAACATAACTATAGCAGCAGAATACTGTCTTAGAATTTCTATCTTATTGCTTATTAATAGTCAATAGTGCTGTCATCTTAACAAATAAGAAAGATTGCTTCACAATTAGGACATACACTTTTCATAACGCATGGAAACGCTTTCTTATATAAAAACATGTAAGCCTCAAAAACTATAAAGCTTAAGGTAGATCTAATGTTAAGGTTGAAGATGGAATAGTATAATTCTTAAGAAACTATCAATATTGTGAAAAAATGACTTCCCAGAAAAAATGTCAGATTTATCCATATTTGCACATGTTTAGGTTTTAAATATAAGATTTAAGATATGCTATTTTGTGGTCCTTTTTTAAGTTCAAACTGCAAGCCAAAAACTTTGTTCATGTCCATTTGTCTGCAAACGTATCAATTTGACATGTGGATTCTTTAATTAGACGTGTTAGGAAAGTCAATACGATTTTAACGCTGATGTTAAATACCAATACCACTACAGGCTATAGTGTGGACCATCTCAAAAAGTACAGCTAATCATTCATTAATAAAAGTTACTTGCATGAGTTTGTTTGATAATACTGAAATGAGTTTAAAACAATTAAATAATAACAATTTATTTTGCAATACATGGACGAGGATCCAGCAAAACAACACGATCATTATGAGTATTATCATCATAAACTGCATTGTTTCATAGTAGTGATCGATTCGGTTTAAGATCGTTGTTCCACAATTTCTTACTATTTTGCTGAACAACTACAAGGAAAATCTGCAAAGTGATCAAAATAAATGAATAAAAAACCCCACTGCAATCAAATCACATCCGAATCAGATTTTTTACTCTACATCAATCTTTGTTCAAAATGTTCGTTCATTTGAAATTTATTTAAAATATACTTTTCATGTCGGGGCCTTTCATAGCTTTTACGCGGGATGGGTGTTGTTCCTTGTTGGGGGCTATTCGGTGACCTATAATTGTAAACATTTACGTCATTTATTCTCTGGTAGAAAGTTGTCTATTTTGGCAATCATACCAAATTTCCTTATTTTATATCATTTTCTAGAATAGAGAATGTGTAAGTTAAAATTCTAATAAAAAAATTATGGGTTAAACATATATCCTAAGGGTTAAACAAAATCCTAAGGGTTAAAAAAATCCTAAGGGATAACAAAAAAATTGTGAACTTAACAATTAAAAAAAATAAAAAGAATGAAACAGAAGAGTATTGAATGTGATTATGTTTATCTTTATTTTATCTAGAAAGGTCATTCTGGAAATTTAATGTATTGCTAAAAAGGGACAATACCTAAAAAAAATTAACTGACATTTTCTTTCTATCAACTTTTGTCAATTAGTGCACAAAATAGGTTATCGAATTAAGTTTTAAAAGAATACCACATTTGGGCATTATTCAAGCATTTTAAATTAACGTTTCATTGAAGGGTCGGAAGTTTTTTTCTTCGTTGTATCACGGCTTCCTCTACCAACAAAACAGAACACCACGACTAAATTGAGATACTGTTGAAAGTGGCGTTAAACTTTCATATCGAGAAGTAAATTTTATTATCTTTGGGTCAGGAGGATATTTTGAGAATGGAATATTCATTTTCACCTCTTGCAAATCCTGCTAATTTATAAATCGGGCAATTGTTTTCCGATTTCCGCCTAATATTCACTATACACTCCGCTTTCTAAATTGGACAGTATATAGTGATGGTCGGATGGGTCCATTGGTCCGTTCTTTTGTCTGTCTGTCTATTCATTGCATTCATACCCAGATAGTTCTAGACAATACGAATCACATACGGCTCGTGAAAAATGGTTTTCTTGAAAATTAAAACGATGCGCAGCAAGACAACCTTCTTCCAAGAATTGGCACCAACTTGGAATTGGATTTTCCTCCAAACTGTGTTAATTTATGTGATAAGATTTATGCGAACCTTAAACCGATTGATACGCCATAAAGGAGACACCAAGTAAGACAAAATCGAAAAGGAAAAAAATAAAATGCAAAAAACTAAATAGAAGAATTTCTGAATGTCAAGTTTATGTTGAACACGCTATCAGAGTTTAAAACATTTAGGGTTGTCGGTACTTTGAGGAGACATCCAAGACACGAATCAAATCAAATTGCAAAACAGTTCCATTCAGATCATATCATTAACAAAACATACTTTTCTATACCATGATAAGATAGTGAATTGTCATGGGTATTTTTTCTCTTACAAAAGCTTAACATTGATAAATGATTTTTGTTTGCCTAAATTTCAGTGCCAAATATTTTGCATTATCCACATCTCGTGTATTGTCAGGACGAATGAATATGATTAGTTTATACGTAAACCATAGAGCTACGAACAGCACAAAACAAAACAACATTCTATACAGATAAATATACGGTTTTCAACCATTTGAAGGTGTTAAAAATACACAGAAAGAATTGAAAAACACGAACCAAACCAAAAGACGGTGAGAAATCAGGTCTTCCAGATAAATAAGTAGATCCTGCTGATAGTTCGTGGCAAGTTGTTCACGTGAAAGTCGCGTAATATCACAATAAAGAAAAAGAGGAAGGGAATGTGGTTACTTTTTAGGTTCCATTTGTTCATATATCTCTTCACGTATTCAGGTATTCATTCATCTATGATTTTCAAATACTTTTGTTAATGTGTTTGTCATTTCGTTGATTTTTGTTTTGCTATAGTGTTGAATGTTTTTATTAGACAAATGATTTTTGATTGCCTCCTTGGTATTTTTTCCCTTCTTTTATAAGAAGTCTTATGAAGACAAAACATGATTCTGATTGACTAAAGTATCCATCTTCTTTTCCACCAAAAAAAAAAAATAATAGAATAAACCCCTATTCAAAATTCAAATTGTGTTCTGGACTTGTGGAGAGGCAAACTGAGTTATTTGACTATTAAACATATTTTACACATATCATTTAATATATATATTTGAACTTGTGGTCGTAAGATCGTCATACCCATTCTTGACCCTTACATATATTTTTTTAAGTTTTGTTTTGCACTCCTAAATCAAACAAATACAAATGAATGTATTAAGATCTACGTAAGGCCATGCACGTCTTAAAATTTGGAGTCGATGTTAACCGTTTGCTTCGAATTGTATCAAACCCATCGCAAAGCTAAACTATAATACGCCGGGATACTTTTCAATTCAATTGCATTTTGAGAAAGTCCACACTTAAATCTTGTATCGGTATTGGTATTCAACATCAGCGCAGTATTTAAATCCCTTTCCTAACACGTCTATTACTATATGTATTGATCATATGCATCAAAGTTAACTAATCCATGAATCAAGTAAGCTAAATGTTTGAACTTAATTATAATCTGTTTTTTAAAAGTTGAACACAAACTATTTTAGAAAGCCTGTGGTATAGCAGCTTTTATAAGGCAGAATAGGTTTTGAGCTTATAGAAAAGGCAATCGTTAGTCAGTTTTCTTCTTTAGTCTGACTCATTAGCATCATATACACGCCATGTATATTGAACGTCTGGTCATGTGGTTATGTTATGTTTG